ATAAAAAATAAAATTTAATTTAATTTAATTAAAAAAAGATTTAAAAATGTAAAAGCCCCGGTAGCATCTGGAAACGTACGGAAAGGTTTAAATGCAGAAACTGCACTGTTTTTGCCTACTGGTGAAGACACTGTTAATGGGTTAACGTAACTAATTTTGGTACTACTAATTAACCGGTAATGCCCAAAATGCTCACTATTCACCATTTAAAAGAGTTTTATTTTTAGTTATAGTTAGTAATTAGTTGACTGTAACATCTAATTAGACCAAACTTAGTTGCAGTGCTCCTGTAAAATTGACCAAAATGTTGATTAGTTCCGATTAATTATTTTTGACTTGAATAACCTACTGCTGAGCCCTAAAGGGACGTTGAAGGGAAAAATAAATAAAGAAACTTTTTTTATCCTCAGATAATGTGCGCACAAATGGCGCACACGAGGAAGCACAGCGCGCAAGAAATTATTCGGTGCGCACGCGATACGCGCTGGTGCGCACGGAAAAGCACGTGCGCAAAAGAAATTATTTGTTGGTTGCGCACGGGTAAGAAATCAACTAGTTGACTATTCTTGTCACAGTAAATTTAGYCATAGGCTAGTAACACCCAAACGTTTTGGCCTTGTTAACTAGTGCGCCTAAAAAAGGTCAACTAGTGCGTCTGAAGAGTTGACTAGTTAACTAGTTACTTTCCAAATGCCCACTRGTAGCTTTGCTGGTCCTTAGCGCGATGCGCCTGCATGGGGTGAGCTCACCGCGTGCACGAGCCTGTTTGAGCCTCTCAGTGCACGTGAGATTAGGCAGCTCTCAGCTGGCGGGCGGTGAGCGCGAGGACACCGGGGAGAGTGAGAACACCCGCCGCCGCTGCTGCTTCTCCTCCGGGAAGATGCCACTGATGAGTCCGACCCGAGAAACCAGGAGCTAACGCACCGAACCGAACCGAACCGAACCGGCTGGATGTTGAGTCTTCAAATTTCACTTGGGACGGCTGATTGGAGATAAAAAATAAAAAAAACCAGGGACAGGTGTCTGCTGCTCGACCCCTTCACCTATTTTTGTTATTTGTTTTTGTTTGTTTTATTTTATTTCCGGAGCCATGTTGTGGACACGATGGCTCGTCCTGCTGCTCTGCTGGGGGGCCACCGGTGGCGAGCAGCAGGCGGAGGAGAGGGACGGGGCCCGGGGTGAGGTCAGGTCGGACTCCCGCAGACAGCGCTCCCCTCCGCCGGTGGAGCCGCTGGACTTCGGGTTTGTACCGCCGGCTCTTTATCAAACCCACGCTTACTACGAGCCTGGGACCATAGGCATCCTTTTCCACGTGGTCCACGCGTTTCTCTACGTTGTTCAACCGAACTCCTTCCCCACAGGTGAGACCCTCCTGACCTCTGATCCTCCAAACGTGTTCATTTCATGCGTTTATGTGTTTTTTTTCCAGCTTGCTGTGGCACAAAACATTTTCAGAACTCATTTCAGTATGTGAACCTAGGTTATTTTGTTAAAATGCAACATATGGTCATAAACAACAACTGCAGTGGTAATAAGACTAACTGTCCTAAGCAGGACATTTAATCTGATGGGTCTCCACYTCATTCACTTGACACAAGTGAAATAGTGAACTTAGTGGCATTTCTGTGCATAACAGCCTGTCCACCCTTACATAACAGTGATTCCCAAAATATGGTTCTGTGACCTCACCGTGGCTCATGAAACAGAATTATGGTCCTCATATTCTCCAAATCAAATTTATTTTTAAAATGATGAGTGGCATGTTTTTTTATTTTTTTATTTTAGGTGGTGTGGTGGCTCAGTAGAGCTGTTTCTTCTCAGGAACCTTTATAGGTAGAGTTTGCATGTTCTCTCTGTGCATGAATGGGTTTTCTCCAGACATTCTGGTTTCCGCAAACCAAAAACATGACTGGTAGGATCATCAGCAGCTTGAAATTGTCCCTAGGTGTGAGTGAGTGAGAGAGTGGTTGTTTGTCTGTGTGTGTCCTGTGATGGACTGTCCAGGGTGTACCCCGCCCCTTGCATGGACACAAGTGACCCTGAAAGGAAGCTGCTGGTAGATGTATAGATGTTTTTTTATTCCAAAATTGTGACAGAAGACAAAAACTGTAGTTAATATTTGTATGTTTTTTTGGGGGTCACAAGGACTGCTATTATTTTGTGGTAAAAGATGAAAAGTTTGGAAACCACTGGTCTGAATGTTTTACTTYGTGTTATTTGGTCAAATCGTCAGTCATCTGTCTAAAATGTCAGCAGTTCCATCTCAAGTTTTTTGTTTTGTATTTCTGTTTATTTTCTAATGGTGATAAAGCTGGATATTTTAAACCTATCTTAAAATGATTTTTTAATAGTTTGTACCTGAAATGTTACATTATCAGAGGCGACGCGTATATTTTTGCTTTGCCATGAGTCACTAAGCTGAAAACTCTAGCTTTGCTGATTTTTTTTCCCCAAAACTGAATCGCAAGCACATTTTGTACATTGTACTCTGAACAGCAAAGTCCAYAAAGCACTCAAAACGTCAAATAAACAACGGTGGCAGACACAGTTTGCACGGGTCCGTCTGTGTTGAAATACACATTTTTGCTCTGGTTTAGAAATTGAAAATTCGCAGACCTAAAATCCCTAAAATGTTAAAGCACCTAGTGATAATGTGCTCTTGAAGATCCCAGAAGCCAATGTGAGTGACTGAATGTGATCAATAGCTGTCTTAGCTTAGAAGTAAGTCATGGGTGGGAAATCCTGGTCCTTGATGGCCGCTATCCTGCATGTTTTACTTGTTTCCCTGTTCCAACTCTTGGTAATCAAGCATTCATTCAAATCAGGTGTGTTAGGGCAGAGAAACAAGTAAAACATGCAGGATAGGGTCCTGGAGGACCAGAACTGCCCAGCCTTGTATAAGTGATCCACTTTGGAGCCTTGTAGCTGAGAAGCGATCAGGTCTGTCACCTGTGTCTGTCCTGAATGCTGCCTTTTCTTTTGGCCTCACAGTGTAGTTATGTGTTTGCAGACAGGACTATAAAAAGCTGCTTGTTTTTGTTTGGCGTGTCGAAGCGAGCGGTCACGTTGGAGGATGGCACGGAGCAATGGGATTGAAGGTTTTAAAGTTGCTGCCATTTTGGTTGCCAACGCTGGCTGCGTACTCAATTAGCAAATCAGTGATTAGAGGAGGCTTTTTCTCTGTCACCTGCATCACAACGTAATACCTTAATCCACCGGGCCATATGCTGCTGCTGTTGCCATGGACTGAACACTGTCACCCACAGGTAGAGACCACCTGTAGCGCATATCGCACTCTGAAGTCACGCTTGCGACAAATAAACAGGTCTTGTAGCGACTCGTGATGCTGTTTAAAACTGCTTAGGATGCGTTGCAGATCAATCTCACCTTGTTGTTGTTGTCACCTGGTCTACCTGCTGCTTTAAGCCACTAACAAGTAAACAAACCCATCAAGGAATCGTCAGCGGTCATGCAAAAGTATCAAGAGTTACCGTCTTTTATTTATCAATTAACTCACTTAGAACAATTCAATTAAAAGAAAAATAATTTGTTTAAACTCATATAAGAATTATTCTATAAATTGGTTGCTTCTTGAGAGTTAAATTTCGTTTTGACCAACAGGTTCTCAAACATTTAAAAAAACAACAACAACAACCTCCTCTAGATTTGGTTCATTTTCAACATTTATTTTTACCAAATGATTCGATGTTGTGATGTTGTGCATCAAAAAGAAATAAAACAGAATTCAGCAAAACAATGTTTCTGGCTTGAAAAGATTTGTAATAGTCACTTGTCTAAGATGTCATGAATTGTTTTGAAGTGGTATAATATAACATTTATAATAATGTATGTTCTTGTTAATGTCACATTACAGACAAATAAAAAAATCATTAATTTGCAGTGTACAAATTATGTCATAAAGCAATGCAAAATTCTCTCTCCTTGATGTCCTGATGCATCTCAGTAATCCAGGTAAAAAATCAAAAAGAAAAAAATTGTGTAGGTCTTCTGGACGGGTTCTTCTCTAATGAAA